CCTAATGACTAGTGAGTTTAAACATTTTTTCATATGCCTGTTGGCCATCTGTATGTCCTCATTAGAGAAATGTCTCTTCATATCCTCTGCCCATTTTTTAATTGGGTTGTTTGTTTTTTTCGTGTTGAGTTGCATGAGTGTTTTATAAATTTTGGATATTAACCCATTATCAGATAAAATCATTGACAATACCTTCTCACATTCAGTAGGCTTCCTTTTTTTGTTTGTTTGTTTGGTTTTGTTTTTTTTAATATTTCTTTTTTTTAAGATTTTTTTTTTAATTGAGGAATTGGGGGAAGGGGAACAGACAAGTTGCTGTCCTTTTGTTCTTCAGTCTAGTTGTGGAGGACGTTGCTTCACTGGCCCAAGTTGGCACCATCATTGCGCTCTTCCCGTGTGAGGCAGATCAGTCACCGGGTTCTGGACGGCCGCTCACTGCGGTTGCTGGCCCATCACTTTGGCTGCTGGCTACACACAGTAGCCCATGGTAACCCACTGCCACAGGGGCTGCAGCCTGCGCCATCGCCAGCGACTCACAGCAGCCCAGCTCCAGGTTGAGCTGTTGTTCAACATCTTAGCTGTAGAGGGCAGTGTCACTGGCCCTCATATATGGGATCCGAACCGGGGGCCCTCTGGCGTCCCAAGCCAGCTCTTAACCAACGTGCCACTCGGCCGGCCCTCCTTTTTGTTTTATTGATGGTTTCCTTTGTTGTGAAAAAACTTTTAAGTTTGATGTAGTCCCATATGTTCATTTTTTCTTTTACTTCCCTTGCCTGCAGGGATGTATCAGTAAAATTATTGCTCATGGTCATGTCTGCAGATTTACTCCCTGTATTTTCTTCTCGGAGTTCAATGGTTTCAGGTCTTACATTTAAGTCTTTAATCCATTTTGAATTTGTTCTTGTATATGGCGTAAGGAGGTGGTCCAGTTTCATTTTTTTGCATGTGTCAGTCCAATTTTCCCAGTACCATTTATTAAATAGACTATCTTTACCCCAATGTAAATTCTTGCTTCCATTGTCATAGAATGACTGTCCGTATATGCATGGATTTATTTCTGGGTTCTCTATTCTGTTCCATTGATCTGTGTGCCTGTTTTTATGCCAGTGCCATACTGGTTTGATTACTGTAACCTTGTAGTATGCTTTGATGTCTGGTAGCATGATACCCCCAACTTTGTTCTTATTTCTCCAGATTGCCGTGGCTCTTTGGGGTCTTTTATGGTTCATATACATTTTAGGATTATATTTTCTATTTCTGTGAAAAATGCCCTAGGTAGTTTGATAGGAATTGCATTGAATCTATATATTGCTTTGGGCAGTATTGACATTTTAACTATATTAATTCTTCCTATCCATGAGCATGGTAGGTGTTTCCATTTATGTGTATCTTGTTTTATTTCTTCAGTGTCTTATAATTTTCTAAGTACAGGTCTTTTACTTCTTTGGTTAAATATATTCCTAAGTATTTTATAGTTCTTAAAGCAATTGTAAATAGGACTTTTTTCTCAATTTCTCCTTCCACTAGTTTATTATTGGTATATACAAATGCAACTGATTTCTGAATATTGATTTTGTATTCTGCTACCTTACTGAATTCGTCTATGAGTTCTAATAGTTTTTTGATGGAGTCTTTGGGGTTCTCTATGTATAGTATCATGTCATCTGCATATAATGACAATTTTACTTCCTCCTTACTGATTTGGATGGCTTTTATTTCCTTTTCTTGTCTGATTGCTGTGGCTAGAACTTCCAGAACTATGCTGAATAAAAGTGGAGAAAGTGGACAGCCTTGTCTTGTTCCTGATCTTAAAGGAAATGGTTTTAGCTTTTCCCCATTGAGTATGATGTTAGCTGTGGGTTTATCATATATGGCCTTTATTAAGTTGAGATATGATCCCTCTATTCCCACTTTGCTAAGAGTTTTTATCATAAATGGCTGCTGGATTTGTCAAATGCTCTTTCTGCATCTATTGATATGATCATATGATTTTTATTTTCCATTTTGTTGATGTGGTGTATCACATTAATTGATTTGCAGATGTTGAACCAACCTTGTGTACTAGGGATGAAACCCATTTGATTATGGTGTATGATCCTCTTAATATAGTGCTGAATTGTTTGCCAATATATATATTTTAAAGATTTTATTGGGAATTGGGGGAGGGGAACAGTGTTGGGGAATTGGGGAAGGGGTCCAGCCAAGCTGTTGTTCTTCAGTCTTCGTTGTGGAGGGTGCCAGTCGCCATCTGGATTCCCGTCGGCAGCTCATGGCCTCTAAGCTTAAGGTGCTGTGTTCAATTTTAGTTGCAGGTGGGCGGAGCCACCATCCCATGCGGGAGTCGAACCAGCAGCCTTGTTGTTCAGAGCGCACGGTCTGTCCACTTGAGCCATCCAGGCAGCAGCTCAGCTCAAGGTGCCAAGTTCAGTCTTAGTTGTGAGTGGGCGTAGCCCACCATCAGACAGACAATTTTGTTTTTACATCAGCTGAGCTATCCTGCCACCTGTTGGCAGCTCAGTGACAGCTCAGCTCGGGCCAAGCATCACTGGCTCATGTGGGAATCGAACCAGCAGCCCCGTTGCTCAGAACCTGCGTTCTTAAGCCAAATCTTAACCAACAGAGCCACTCGGCCAGCCCCTGTTTGCCAATATTTTTTTGAGGATTTTTGCATCTATGTTCTTTAGGGATATCGGCCTGTAGTTTTCCTTTTTTCTACTGTCTTTGTCTGGTTTTGGAATCAGGGTGATATTGGCCTCATAGAACGAGTTTGGGAGCCTTCCCTCCTGGATTTTTTGGAATAGTTTGAGAAGAATAGGTGATAATTCTTTTTTGAACGTTTGGTAAAATTCACTTGTGAACCCATCTGGTCCAGGGATTTTGTTTGTTGGGAGCTTGTGGATTAGTGATTCAATTTGCTTGGTAGTAATAAGTCTACTCAGATTTTCCGTTTTTTCTTGAGTTAGTTTTGGAAGGTTGTGTGCTTCTAGGAAACTATCCATTTCTTCCAGATTGTCAAATTTGTTGCATATAGTTGCTCAAAGTAATTTCTTAATTTTTTTTTAATTTCTGTGGTGTCTGTTGTCACTTCATCTCTTTCATTCCTGATTTTTCTAGTTGGAGTCCTCTCTCATGTTTTTTTTTTTATGAGTCTGGCTAGAGGTTTATCAATTTTATCTTCTCAAAAAACCAGCTCTTGCTGTTCTTTTCCAGTTCCCTGAGGTGTAAGGATAACCTGTTGATTTGAGATTTTTCTTGCTTGTTTAGGTAGGCCTGCACTGCTATGAACTTCCCTCTTAGGACTGCTTTTGCTGTATCCCAGAGATTTTGAGTCATGCTGTTTTCATTTTCATTGGTCTCGAAATCTTTTGATTTCCTCCTTGATCTCATTTTTGACCCACTCGCTATTTAGTAGCATGTTATTCAGCCTCCATGTATTTGTGTGCTTTCCAGGTTTCTTCTTGTACCTGATTTCTAGTTTCATAGCCTTGTTGTCGGAGAAGACCCTTGATATGATTTCAGTCTTCTTACATTTATTGAGGCTTGTTTTATGACCTAGCATTTGGTCCATCTTGGAAAATGTTCCATGTGCACTTGAAAAGAATGTATATCCTGTAACTTTGGGGTGAAATGCTCTGAAAGTATCAATTAAATCCAGCTGGTCTAATGTATCATTTAAGGCCGCTGTTTTCACATTGATTTTCTGTCTGGAGGATCTGTCCATTGGTGACAGGGGGGTGTTGAAGTCTCCTACTACGATAGTGCTACTGTTGATCTCCATCTTTATGTCTGTCAATATCTGTTTTATATATTTAAGGGCTCCCATGTTAGGTGCATACATGTTTACTAGGGTTATGTCCTCTTGTTGGATCGATCCCTTTATTATTATGACGTGCCCTTCTTTGTCCTTTATTATATTCTTCAATTTAAAGTCCATTTTACCTGACATAAGTATTGCTGCTCCACCTTTTATCTCAGTTCCATTTGCATGACATATTTTACTCCATCCCTTTATTTTCAGCGTGTATGTGTCTTTTGGTCTGAGGTGAGTTTCTTGTATACAGCATATGCAAGGGTCTTGCTTTCTTATCCATTCGGCCACCCTCTATCTTTTGATTGAAGCATTTAATCCATTTACATTTAATGTGATTATTGATAGGTGCATAATTATTGCCATTTTGTTATTTGTGTTTCTGGTCTTCATTAGTTAGACTGTTTTTCACTTTCTTCTGCTTAAAGAAGCCCTTTTAACATTTCCTGCAATGCTGGCTTGGTGGTAATGCATTCCTTTAGCTTATTCTTTTCTGGGAAGCTCTTCTTGAATTTTAAATGATAACCTTGCTGAAGGAAGCAATCTAGGTTGTAGGCCTTTGTTTTTCATCACTTTGAAGCCCTCCTGCCACTCCCTTCTGGCCTGCAGAGTTTCTGTAGAAAAGTCAGCTTATAATCTTATGGGGGTGCCCTTGTAAGTAACTTGCTGCCTGTCCCTTGCTGCTTTTAAGATTCTGTCTTTGTCTTTAACCCTTCCCATTTTCACTATAATGTGTCTTGGTGTGGGCCTGTTTGGGATCATCTTGGTTGGAACTCTCTGCACTTCCTGTGCTTGTATGTCAATTTCCTTTGCCCGTTTAGGGAAGTTTTCAGACATTATTACTTCAAATATGTTCTCAATCCCTTGTTCCCTCTCTTCTCCTTCTGGTATTCCTATGATGCCTATGTTGTTGCGCTTGATGTGGTTGTCCAGCTCTCTTAAACTATTTTCAATGTTTTTTATTCTTTTTTCTTTCTGTTGTACTGATACATCCTACAACATGGGTGAACCTTGAAAATATGCAAAGTGACAGAAGCCAGACACAAAAGGCCACATATTGTATTACTCCATTTATATGAAATGTCCAGAATAGGCCAATTGTTAAGAATGGAAAGTACAATTATGGTTACCAGGGGCTGGGGGCAGGCAGATAATGGGGAGTGTGCTTAATAGGTACCACATTTCTTTTGAGGTGATGGCAACGTTCTGGAGTTACATAGTAGTGATTGTTGCAAAACTCTGTGAAGATAACTGCAAAGCATTGGATTATACTTTAAAAGGTGAGTTTTATGAAAAGGTGAGTTTTATGATAAGTGAATTATATCTCAATTTAAAAGCACAGTCTCATTGTAGGCTTGGAGATGAGATTTTATATTTAAAGTTGTAGTATTTCTCTCCACTATTTATGACAACATGCATACCATGTAGCCTCACCATGAGAAGTTGCACAGTTTGTTGACTGAAAAGGCACACAGCGAAAGATGTGAATGAGGACTGAAATTAGCCCATGCCCTGCTCTCTGACTTGTGTTTCCTAGTTCGATGCAGCCCCAGCCCAGAAGAGAAAGCACCATTTTACCATTTGGTAATTCAGCTGCACAGAGGAGATACCTAACTTCCATTTGTTTTCTTGGAGAGGGCACCTTTTAGTACTTTGCATGAAGATTTCATAGGTTCTGGTGGATATCCTAGTACAGTGGCTACTATTTTTCCATCTTGTAATTTGGGCCATCTTCACAGCCATTTTCTTTAACTGGGTCTCATAACCAGTTATAAAAGAACCCTATAATTCCACAAAGGTCTATTGGTTTTAACTCACTCTCTGGTATAATTTCTATGTCAGGGTTCTTTAGGTGCAGGTAACAGAAATTGATTCTGAGTAACTTAAGGAAAAAATAAGGATTTTTGGAAGGACACTGGAGTTGCTCAAAACCAAATGAAGTGCTGAAAAACAAGGCCTCAAGGAGCTCAGGAACTGAGGAAGCTTAGGGCCTTTGGGTAGCAGAACCTCGGTCTCTATAGTCTCCACTCAGGTTTAAAACTCCGGGCACAGAGAATCTGATTATTTCACCCAGAAAAATAAAATCTCTCATTAAAACAAAAATCAGTGAAAGAATGCTGGACAATCTAAACAATAGCTACCAAAGGAGGTAAGAAAAAGAGGGGCATCGACATCCAAGTGGAGATGTTGAGTAAGCCTTTAGATGGATGAATCTGGATCTTAGAGGAGAGGGCCAGACTGGAATAAACAATTAAAAATTGTAAGGATGATTGAAAGAAGGGACATGGTTGAGATTGCCCAGGAAGAGAGTGAGTGGCCATGCTCCCCACCCCTCAGCTCCATTGCCTGAAGGCAGGAGTGCTTACTGGGGTAATTTATAATTGGAGGATTGTTTCTGCTTTTTGAAGGATATGATATTCCTAGTGATTGGGAAAAGAGTCCACGGTATGGGAATATAACACTGTGCTGGGAACATTCCATCTCCTAAGAATGAAGTTGGTATGTGGAGATTTTAATGGAATGTAACTTCTTTCTATTAATTATAGTAAATGCTATCTAATTGTTTCTCTAAAATGTATTATTTATATTGTACTTGGTCCTGTGCTAAGTGTTTTATGTACATCATCTTATTTAAGTCACAACAAATTAGTGAAGTAGCTATTATTGTCACCATATTTTACAGATGGGTTACTATGGTCTCGGAGAGTTTAAGTCATTTATTCAAAGTCATATGCTAGAAAACAGTGGAAATGGGATTTAAGTAAGGACTATCTGAGTTCAAAAACGTTTCTACTCCATAGCAAATGATACAGCAACGCCAACATTAGCTATAGTTTAGGATTATTGAGCCCTTACTGGGTCCATGTAGCATACTGATACTTTATATGCATCATTTCACTTAATCCTCTTAATAACCTTATAAGGAAAGTACTGTTGTTATCCCTATTGAAAAGTTGAGGAATCTGAGGCTTAGAGATGTTAATTTCATGGTTGTCACATTGTAAGTGGTAGAGTCAGGGCTTGAACACATCTTATTCCAAAGCCTGTGTGCTTCATCAATACACTCCCTTCTATCAAAAATAATTAAATTTTAGAACAGTGGCTCTCTTCCCTCGCTGTGTATTAGAATCACCTGGGGAGCTTAAAAAAATCCATGCAAAAGCTCATCATCCAAAGTTCTGTTTTAATTTATCAAGAATGCGGACTAGGCATTGGATGTTTTTAAAAAGCTTTTATTTATTCATTCAATAAAAATTTAATGAATGCCTTCTCTATGCCAAACACTCTCTAGGCATTTACTTTCTAGCAAGATGTATCAGTTAGGTATTGCCACAACAATATATAACAACAACCACAAAATCTCAGTGGCATGAAAAATTAAGAATTGATTAAGCACTTATTCTCACAGATCTGGAGGCCAGCTGGGGTTCACCTGATTAGATAGGGCTCTGTAGGGCAGGTCTGATTCAGGCTGGGGTGACTTGTCTTTTCTTGCTGCAGGGCAGTGAGTAAACTAGGGTAGCTCTGCTTCATGTATGTCTCATCCTCAGACCAGTGAACTAGTGGGGCTTGTTTCTCTCATGGCTTGTCTCATGGCAGTGGCAGAATCACCAGAGGGGACATGTCTAACTGTGCAAGCGTGTTTCAGACCCCTGCTTCAGTCACATCTGTGTACACCTGTTACCGAAAGCAAGTCTCAAGGCTAAGCTCAAAGACACACGGTAGGGAAATAAGCTCCACGTTTTTTTAAGATTTTTATTGGGGAATTGGGGGATGGGAACAGCGCTGGGGAATCAGGGAAGTGGAACAAACAAGTTGCTGTCGTTTTGTTCTTCAGTGTAGTTGTGGAGGATGTTGCTTCACTTGTCCAAGTTGGCACCATCATTGCGCTCTTCCCGGGCAAGGCAGATCAATCGCCGGCTTCCGGACGGCTGCTCACTGCGGCTGCTGGCCGCTCACACTGGCTGCTGGCTACACACGGTAGCCCATGACAACCACTGCCACAGGGGCTGCAGCCTACACTGTTGCCGGTGACTCACAGCTTCCCAGCTCCAGGTCGAGCTGTTGTTCAGCATCTTAGCTGTGGAGGGCAGTGTCACTGGCCCTCATATGTGGGATCCGAACCAGGGCCCTCTGGCGTCCCACGCCAGCTATTAACCACCGTGCCTCTCAGCCAGCACAAGCTCCACTTTTTTTGTGTGGACCTGAAAGCTCATGGCAAGACTGAGAATTGGGGCTGATAATTCAGTTTAGGTGGGGAAGACTGAAAATTAACAATAAGCACAATAAATAAGAAAATTATCCAGTGTATTAGAAAGTGATAAGTAACATTGAAAAAAAAAAAGAGAAAAAAATCTAGAGGGTGATGTGAAGGTGATTCTAATGTGTAGCTAGGACTGAGAACCACGGACCATACGTGTTCAACCTGGAAAGAAACCTAGGCTAACATTTCCTCAACCATTTTGAAAACAATAAAATAGACCCAGAAAGTAGAAGAATCAGCCTATAGACTCAAGGTCCATAGGTAGATAGTTACAGAAATGGAACTAGGGCCTAGGGCTTCTGACTTTCTAGACGGTTTCTATAGCATATTATTCCACTTTATGGTCTTAGAATTCTACCTTTACCTGTGGCATCAAAACTATGTTGTGGAAGGACACATTCGTTCTCTCTTACATTAACCCCAGATGTGAGAGGTATACTCCCTAAATCCTATACTTCCTGTACTAACCCAATTCAGAGCCCAAGCTGACATTATCTGTATTTATACTCTTTAAAAGTTTGCCAAGGGCCGGCCGAGTGGCGCGATGGTTAAGAACTCGCTTGGGATGCCAGAGGGGCCCGGTTCGGATCCCACATATGAGGGCCAGTGACACTGCCCTCCACAGCTAAGATGCTGAATGACAGCTCAACCTGGAGCTGAGCTGCCATGAGTC